TGTCATCATATCTTGGCTCTGATAGCCTGCGCAGTTCCTAGCAATAGCTCTGTCAATGTATGGATCAAACAAGAGACAGGGTCGAACAGCTTTAGATGTATTTCATTAATAATCATTACTGAGAGAATAGTAGGGGAGACTATTTTTCTGCATCCTACACAATGGGGCATGACAGCTCTTTCTGACTAGGAGACATGAACTCGTAAGTTCTTACGCAAATTCGCAGACATTGGAACATATGTTGCAATGGCAAAAGATCCCGTCCACATACAATCAACAAGTTGCAATTACGTCCACACTTTAGCATATTTCATCCCAGATCCAGTTTGCTGTTAACTTTGTTCCAAGCTTTTCAGGGCCTATGCTTTCGGACGAGAAGATTGGTAGCGGTGTCACTGTCTACTGTATGTGGATGCATACTATCTCGAGAGGCAATGCTTGAAATGGTCCCAATAAAACTCGGTATAAGGTTCTAATCGCACTGGATTATTCTAGAGCAAGAGTATGCCGTCTGTGCTTGGCACCAATCTCTCGCGAAGTCCAGTTATCAAACCTTACTCCTCTCTTCGAAACTGCCAGTAATGGAATTACTAAACGCTCAAAAAGCTTGAAAGACGTAAAAGAGCAGAGGTACCTTCGAGTATTGTATTTGGACTGTGTGCGTTCTCGACGAATTCGTCGCCGTAAACTCCTTCCGGCGGGATCAATCAAACTTTTCCAAATCCGCTCGTACTGACTTATCACACCTTTCATTCGTTCAGCGAACAAGCTACCAAGGGCTAAACTGTCCCTGTAGATCTGTAAGAAGATCCGATGTGAAATACTACAATAAATCCTTGGATTTAGACGCTCATATTGATGTTGCATGATATAAAAAAGGATAAAAGCTTACATTAATTAGTACTTATTGATTTGGAGTGATGATTTAATCTTTCAAACAAGCTGCACTTGTTTTGAATATTCTCAACACTAAAAAAATACAATCGACCCACCGGTGAGCGTTTGTCGTCTATGCTCATCTTACAAGCATGTACCATTTTTTCGACATCGTGAAGCAAGGTAGCTGGCTGGTCGATATCTCCTCGCTCAAGTGCGTCAAACAAAGATGTCAGATCACAAGTTTGTCGCAAAGCCAGTGCCACATCCTTAATATAACGTAAGATAATCTTTATCCGTTTAATCATACTGCAAACAAACCTCATTTGTTACTGCATTTGCCTGCAAGAAGTGTGACGCGCATGGGTCTGCCATAACTGAACGCAGTATCGATAGACAGTCCATTTTCCAACCTGGTTCAGCAGGTGCATCGTTAAGACT